TAAATAAACTAGCCAGTAATATATCGGCTTATAATTTATCTAATCTTAGTATATCTTTAAACTTACTAACAGCATATGCTACAAAATCTTATAATAATCTTATACCCGATATTTAAGTGTTTTAATCTGGCTATAATCCGATATTTGATATATTTCGCCAAAATCTTTAGCCTATCGGCCTATTATTATCATTATAAAAAATCTAATTATAGTCTTCATCATATCGGCCTGCTATCACCCTTTCTGATTATATACAAATATTTGGATAATATTTTTAATTTTAACCAGTGCAAATTGCGTATAACTTCAGCAACATTTGAATTAAGTTTTTTTTTTGAGTAACCAAGTAATTTAGATACTGTTAATTGTTTATTTTCAATTTTATTTCCTTTAGCAATTACTCGTATAACTATAGCCTCACCAATTTCTAGAACCATGACAACAAGCTTGCGTAGTTGTATATATTCTTGTTGCTTCTAGCCTTGCTGATATTTTAAAAAATATTAGTGAGTATTAAGAATCATCCTTTTTTCATTAGAAGTTATTTAGCTTTTGTCTCTTTTCAAATCATCCATTTTGATTAAAAAAAAAAAAATCAACCTTAAATTAAAATTATCGATTATACTTACCTTTTTTTGTAATTTTTAGCTGCATATAGATGAATTATCAAATTATTATCAGTAAAGAATTTTAGATAATAATTTTTGTATATCTACATTTTTGTATTGGCCCATACTAATTTATTATTTTTAGCTATAATTTCTTTATCATATTCTTTAGTTATTTTTCTAATTAATATTATTATATTTTCTTTGTTTTATATTTTGCTTTTGATCTGATCTTCTTTATAAAATTTTTTATTTTTTTTATTTAATAATTTGTGTTTCTCTAAAAATTATTTAGTTTTAAGGTAATATATATAGGCTCTTGTTTACTATCTAAATATATATTATATATTTTCTTTGTTATTCTGCTTTATTTATTCTAGTCTAATATATATTTAAATAATTTTTTTTATTTTCTAATTTGTTTCTCTATACTTTAATTCTTGTATAACAAATATTAATAAAATTTTCAGAGTTCTTATTATTCTTCAAAAAATTTTTTATTTTAGAAAAAATTTTGCTAAAGAGAAGTTTTTTTAGTTGTTCTTTATTTTTACTACTTTTTAGTTGTTTTTATTTCTTGTTTAGTTGTAACTTCTAGTTTTGAATCTTTTATCTTAGTAGACTCTACTATATTTTATAAGCTAATTAATATATTTTTTTAAACTAATTTTTATCTTAAATTTTAGTAAAAATAATCTATAGAGAGAGTTGTATATATCCCTTAGATTATAGAGAGATGCAAGCAAATTTGTCTACATAATTGCCTAAATATAGTAATGATTTATATTTTTAAAGATTTAAAATATCTAAGT